ATTGCGTACTAAGAAAACCTATTATTATTTTATTTATTTCATGCTAATTAAATATTAGAAACAAATATTTTCCAAATAACATTTAAATAATATTTAAAAAATATTTCCTTTTGCTCTGAAATATTTGCTATTCATTGATCAATGAAAATTTAGATAATATGTTCTAAAGTTTGTTCACATTTATTGAAAATAATATATTAGTAACTTTTTGGGTGTTGAGGTTGTTATATATAGGTACAAAAAGTATTATGTAATAAGAAAATTATTAATAACTTATTTGTTTCATGCTAATTAAATATTAGAAACAAATATTTNAAAAATAATATTTAAGAAATACTTGCTTTTGATCTGAAATATTTAGCAAACATATACTTATTTCCTAAATATGTATGTAATATTTTGTGCTATCTGGGAGCGCGTTGCTGAGGAGGCGCTTCAGATATCGGACTGCCTCTTATCCCGACCGATCCAGGAACCTTTCGTTTAAATGTGGTGCAATTTTGACTTTATTCGAACTGCGACTTCTTTTGCAATCAATTTTGGAAGACTTGACTATTTTCCGTGCTAGTTTTTATTTTTGCACCCTGTTCTTTTGAACTGTGTTTCTGAAGAAGTGCTTTAAACATCGAAAAACGAGTTTCAGAAATTCATCCCAGAACCTTCACTTCATATGTGTTCCATATGGTTCCATTCGACAATCTGCTTCCTTGACAATCCTTAATTATAGAGTTTCGATTTTTGCATCGCGGTCTTCTAAAGCTCTTTTCTGAAAAACTCCTTCAAATAGCAGAATGCAGGTTTCAGAAATCGAATCCGGAACCTTGAGTTGATATGCATAGGACAACTCCCTTCGCTCGAGTGCTGGGTTTTCTCAAAATAATTCTTAAACTTTCGATATTTTTGTGCATGTTTTCATTTTTATAGCATCTTCTAAAGCTCGCTTTTTTAAAGAACCAAATGCACATTTCGATTTGCGGATTTTATTAATCAGAAGGTCAATAATCAGTTTATAGGTCAGCTAAGCGTGGTCTCATTTAAGCAGCAGAATCTCTCAAAATACATTTTTGAACTTTACACACTTTTTGTGCGGGGTCAATTTTGCACCATTTTGCAAGAAAACAGCCCAATTTCTAATCCTTTACCTCAATAGAAGGATTATGGGTGAGATAAATAGGCTAAAATATAAAAAAATACATAAATATAATTGTCCTAAAACGATAATCTGCAATTTTCGGGCTTTTGGCTCGGTATAGCCGCGCTCGCGATTTTTGGGCGCGGTGTACGGTGACAAAACGCACGCGGGCCTCGTAGAAGCCGGGAAACCATCAGCTTAGACCCATAGATAAAGACCATAATATTTATCGTATCGAATTAAATAATTTTATTAATTAAAGCCCCAAACTCAAACTCACAAGACCATTTCGGAGGTGGCTCGCCACAGGCTCATTGTACAAAAAAAGCGGCTTGCGCCTTCTGTATCAACCCTGCCTAATTAAATGTCACAAATTAATATAAGGTTAGGTATTTCCGTCAGTCATCATTATTCGCTACTAGCAGTGAATGTTTGAATAAACTAAACTGTTATTTTCATTCGTTTTTAATTGAATTGTAAAATGGGTTCGGTAAAAGAAATAACCGATGAAGCCAATTTTCAGGCTGAACTGTCTAATGCGGGCACCAAGCTCGTCGTAGTGGATTTTACAGCCACTTGGTAAGTTTTACAACACTTTCATGTTACAATCATGTATGGGGAGTTAACTTTTGATTCCACCCCAAGGTGTGGGCCCTGCCGAACGATGAGCCCAATATTCGAGCAGTTGGCTGCCAAATTTCCACAGTCTGTGTTTTTAAAAGTTGATGTTGATAAGTGTCAGGAAATTGCAGCTGCACAAGGAGTATCAGCAATGCCCACATTCATTTTCTTCAGAAATAAGGTCAGGATGATTGTTGTCGTCCAAACGAATAATTTGCTAATAATTTGAAATGCAGGTTAAAATAGCCCGAATGCAAGGATCTGATTCAGCCGGGCTAGAAAGTAAAATTCAACAATACTCTAAGGCTTCAGATGGTGAGGAAGGCGAAGTCGTTGCCGGACAAGTAGGTGTGATAACCGCACGAATAAATCAAGTCAAACCAAATTTCTGGTCGTTTTCAGATGGACTTATCTCCGTTCATCACCAATTCCGAATGTGAATGCCTTAATGAAACAGACGATCATCCCCTCGCTCATGCTCTGACTTCGGGGGGTGGATTTCTGCAATCCGACTGTGATGAACAATTGATAATTTCCATTACTTTCAATCAGTCGGTGAAGATTCACAGCCTAAAGTTTAAAGCTCCTGCCGACAAAGGTCCAAAACACGTGAGAATATTCATTAATCAACCTAGAACATTAGATTTCGACTTGGCGGACGGTTCTAACAGCGTTCAGGACTTGGTGTAAGTATTTTGAGTAAACTGTGAAATCAGCCGGATTTATAATACGTTTGCTTCAACAGGATACCGCAGGAAGACTTGGAAGGAAACCTCGTTAATCTGAGATTTGTTAAGTTCCAAAACGTCCAGAACATTCAGCTATTCATCAAAGATAACCAATCAGGAAGCGATGTTACCCAAATTGACCATTTAGCATTCATTGGATCTCCCATTAACACTACAAACATGGGGGATTTCAAGAGGGTAGCAGGAAAAAAAGGAGAGAGCCACTGAAAACACAATCGGATTGTAATGGAGTAAAACTTGAAAATTTCCCTATTTCGTATAGTTTCTATCAAGTTTAATAACAGTTTAAATGCGTAATTCTGTCGAGACTAAATAATTTTTTAATCATTAAAAAGGACATTGTCGCCTTAATAAAGTTTATGTTAATTTATATTTTGTTTAATTATAATCTTCCAAAAAAGCTGATGAAAAAATCAGCGGTTATTAACGGTTTGTTACTGGAAAAAACAGTTTTCTGTGTCTATATTTCAATGTTAGTTAAACACTTTAAAGTGTCTGCTATTTGTTCCGCATACAGTGCGTCCTTCGAGTTGAAATTTATTAAATCGCTGAAAGGAGAAGCTTAAGGCCCATTAATTACAGTTTCACTAAGATTCACATAAATTACAACTGTTACAAGAAAGTGTGGATCATAAAAATGCTTAAAACAAAAAAAATGTTCACTTTAATTCAAAATTGAAATACACACATTCAGTTCTGCTACCTTCTTTTTTGCCTCGTGTGCTTGAATTGTAACGATTTTATGGTTTCTGTCGTTTTCTTTTTAATAGCCCGAACCTGCTTTTTTACTTCATCGTTTTTATACTCAACATTTGGATCACTATTCCTCTCTTCCTCGTCGAACAGTTCGCTGATTTCCATCAGTCTATTATTTTTGGCCGATAATACAAAAGGTAGCTTATTCTTTATGTGATCTTTTGAATCAAGTATAGCAATAAGCCCGGTACTTTCATAGTTTCTTTCCTTGGACTCCAGGATCCAAGCGGCGTTCCGAACTTCTATCTTAAACTTTTCCACCTCTTCGATGCTCACATTTTTGCTAACATTCAGCCCTTTTTCTATGGGATTTACAATGTACAACGGACTGTGTTCGGGCTTCGAAATCGCCACCGCTTCGTTTAGGCAGATGGCTTTGGCTCCGAAATCAAACTGTGCATAGTATTCGAAAAATTCGCGCAATAACACCTCAAGGGAACTGGTGTTTTGTGTTTGGAACTTCAGCTTGGTAATATCTCTTAAAAAAGTGCAATCTATTCCATCTTCAGTTACATAATAGTCATTTGGCCCTGAAAGAAATCCAAAGTTTATCACTGATTAGTCAATCAAGAGAGAGCGTGGATTTTATCGTTAACAAACTGTAGTTTTGTAGATATTCAGGAAAGTCTCAAAGACAAGTTTAAAAATATTGGAAATAGATTATTGGTTTGGCTCACCCGCTAATTTCGCCAGCCGATTCAGCGTTGGCAATATTGGGGGCGATTGCAACGGTTTTTGCAAAAAAGCTAAAACTAACAGTGTGAGAGAAAAGTTGGTTATCCATCTTCCCGGCGAGGAATTAGTCAGGTTTACCTCCTTGGCCCATTTTCTGATGGCGAAAACCAATGGTCTAACCCTGGGATCAATTTCTCCCATCATGTACAGGAAATCAGACATGTATATGCCAGTCCTACATTATAAATAGCTGCTATATAGGACGTTAGGACGTATATTTTATTTATCCAAAGCATGTTCAATTTAAGTAGAAGATTTTTTTAAAACCATCTGAGATTGGCCCTACGCCTCTTTCAGGTGCGATAAGTTTGAAACCTTCGCATCTCGGAAAACCATCAAATTAGTCAAAAGAACTGAGATAGGGTTTTTGGAAAGCTATTATTTTCCATTAAGGTATTAATAGAAATTGTAACATCTAAAGATGTTAACAAATATGTACTTGAACATTTCCACAGCCATCTAGGAAACGGTTATAACTATCTGAATAATCATTAGGAACTTTTCGATAAAGCCGCTCATATTTTTCCAACTTTAACAGAAATTTGGAGATCTACAGAAATAGACGCAAATTTAGAGTTAAACACTTACATATTCGACATCGATAGATCGCATTCAACGTTTGTCAGATGTTGATAGTACTTAATAATTGGTACTCGGGCTTGCAAAATTCTTCGAACTTGATTACACCCTGGCAAAAACAAGTGAATTAAGTCTCCGATGGTTTCCATGTTCCTCTGGTTCGTCGATCGTTCAGATCCAGAAGCAGCTTTACAATGATAAATCAGTCTACTGTTATCATTTTCCTAAAATGCCATAAAACTTAATATAAAATGCTTGAAAAAAGCACCGTTTTAATTCATACCAAAAGAAGCAAAACTTCAATTTACATTCTCATAGTAATTAAAAATTGCTTGGCTTATATGTGAAATATTACCCTATCCTGCGTAAGCCTAAGAACGATGTCCAAGTCGCATCCCATTTTCCCAAATCCATTGACAGACGATCCGAATGGAAAGGCGCATATTCTGGGAAACATTCCAGATATGGTCGTTTCCACCTGTTTTGCAGTTAAAAATCTTAGTCTATGTCCGACATCGTTTAGCTTGGTTAAACTATGGAGTTGCTCAATTTGTTCTGAAACCTAACGGTATTATTAGCAAAATATTTCCCTTGAATATTCAAAACTATTACTGTATTGCATCGAAGTAATGCTGCTTTCAAATCGTTTTCATTTCTAACATCAGTCCCATTTTCTAGGGTCAATTTCGCCTGCGCGCTCGCCTTCAGTGTGCCGAATTTCTTACTAGCAGCTCGAAACCATAAAAATTGCGACGCTACTGGAACGCTGTGATTTTCTTGAATGTGACTACTCGATCTCAGAACGTTTGCTACGTCCGATTCCGATTCAAACTCAACAATTATAAAGTGCTATAAAATAGAACTGCCCTATAAAAATGTGTTTGCAAGTGAAACTGCTATTACCATAGGCTCTGGTCCTTCAGTGTAATGAAACATGCATTTTACTTTACCCATGGACTCGCAGTAAGTAAAAAGCTGTTTGTAGGATTGAGCTGATTGTACTTGCACTAAAACGCTCCTAGATGCTTCCATTCTTCTATTTTGCAGCATTTCCATGAACGGTGTAAACGTTCCAGTCAACTGTTCTGTAGCTACAAATGTAAAATAAACAAAATAAGCCAGGAAGTGTATTTTTTAACAAGGAATAAAAATATGTCGAGGGTTAAAGAGAGCCTTTCGGGGAAGGGTCCTTATTATATCGGGCTTTCGGATAGTTTAGTAGGATTTTTTTGTTCTTTAATTTCGTTAGCACCAAACCACCAGAACGTCTAGAATGGCAAGAGAAACATCTAGTTCTTCATTTATGGTCAACTTTATGGTTGGACGGATGAGGTACAAATTACTGCAAGAATTATTAAGCGTTCTGTCGAAATTATAAGGGTGTTGCCTGAGTATTTGAGCCAAAGCTTTACTTTTCACTACGGAACTGGAAAGAAGAAGTGTGTTTCGAACCATCTCATGTACATGAGCGACCACCACTGGTGACACAGATGAACCCCTTTAAGGGGCCACTCTGTTGAGACTTATCATTCACTTGAAAGTACATATTTCACTGGCAGCGCTCCAATAGTTGCTCACACAGCAATGCGATTGCCTTCCAAGTGTAGCGACACTTACCTAATTGTTAGTGACTTATATAAAAGTAAAATTCAAAAATAGAAATGTAAACTCCAGAAAATCACCTGCTTGGCAGTACCGCTTCTTGTCACAAAGCCTAGACGATTTTGAAAAAGGGCCCCGCACGCCCAGGCTCCTTCTAAAGGTCCCCATAAGCCTGCATAAGAAAACCATGACCGCAATGCTTCATATAATAAAATAGACAATTAGTTTGTATTAAGGCAAGAAGCAATAGCAAGTTCCTCAGTTAAAACGCGGTTCATAGTAAATGCATTTCTTCAAAAAAAACGAGAAATTGCTAAACACCCGCAAGATACATTTTAATTGAGGTTAGGTCGGTTTTAGTCAAATTATTTGCACTATTCGTATGGAGGGGGCCAGAAAAAACCTTGGGGGTTTGAACTACTTGAACTAAACGCAATGTTTTAACCAATCGGACGCTTCTTTTGGTCACGTGATCGCACTGACGATTGTCAATTAGTTAGGTGGGGAAAAGTCTGTCAATTTCAATAAAATTGTTTATGTTAAAAGTTGTGTAGTTTGGTGACAGTTTGCGAATAAACTAGCTCATAATTTTTCACTTAACACGGCAAAATATGCAATTTAAACCTCCGGAAAGTGTTCCCTTCATTTATATTTCATAGGTTGAACGTCGCGTTAAATTTAAAGAAATGGCCTCGGGCGATAACATAGAGAGTATCGAAGTTCTGAGCTCAAATTTAGCTCTCAACATGAACAACTCCAAGGAACCCCCCGGAATATGCGAGCCTGGAGCGTCTGGCGAAGCTGATGGTAATTAAATTTCCTCATATTTTGCTAATTAGAATGTACCGAAACCAACACCCCAATAGGTTAGCTGATTTTGAGGTCAAATTTTATAGGAATTCATTGAAACACCTTGAAAGTTTTGCTTGGAATTCAGTTTCTTCCTGTTTCGATTATTTCTCATTATCTCATTTCGCAATTCAGTATTTTATTATTCAGTGGACTTTTCACGCCACTTTAATTCTGATATCATGTATCATTGACCCCAAGTCGCTTCTTGTAATTGCATAAAAGCAATTTTCCCATTACTCACTACTTTAATATTACTGAGGCTTTATTCGAATTGTATTTTTTTTTCAGACAAGGACAATATCTCAGTGTTGAATAAGAGCATCCAAGATGTAAGTAGAAAAAATTTCGTTGCATCAACGCACTTAAAACTGGTTAAACATTCAGTTTCATCAACTTAATTGAACTGAAAAGTATACATTTAGTGAGAGTAGTGAGTTTTTAACTGTTCCGTTCAAAGTCACAAGGTTATAGCAATTAGTGTGTTAACACTGTAAAAACCCGACATCTTCAGCCTAAATTTTTCTTATGAATAACACAAATGAAAACTAAATGCAGTTTAGTTACTATCCCCACAACGGTGCGAACTATTAAAAGGTTTTATCTAATCGGGACATTTTATCACAATGCGATAAATAACTATCATTAGCACTGTCAATAGATACCTACATTGTTTCGCATTTTTGGTATGTAAAAATATAGAAGATTATCGCAACTTCTCGCAATAATATTTCGCCTTCAATGAATCTAAAACAGATCAGGTCAATAAAATGGTACGTTTCTATATCGTACTGCGGTTTCTACGTGGCGCTTCCACAACAGTTAAAGCATAAATATATATGAATAGGAATTACTGTGTTACATGTAGGATTTTTGAGACAATATTGCTAAAAATCTGGCTCAAAACTGTTGCTTGCCAAGTAAACAGTTGATTCGGATAGAACCGTTTTATAATAATTTTGGTTTTCTGAGTGTAGAAGAGATAGAAGCAAAAGAGTCTGCCCAAGCCTAAAATGGACTGTATTGCAGAAAATATTGAAATTATTCAATTAACTATTAGCACTTTTTCGGCAGCCCGTTCAATCACTCATTCGGAAATTAATTAAAATCTTGATTTCCTTGCCTTCGTTAGAGATTCTAAAGAGATAGAAGCAAAAAGTGTCTGTCCCAAGTTAAAAACCAAAATATTGTTTCGTAAAAAGTTGGAAGCAAAAGTTTGAGAAATTCAATGGCCTGTTTGAAATATCTAATCAGTATTAATGACCATTTTGGATAGAACTCCCCCTGAAGGAAAGTTAAAAGGAAAAATGTTTAATATGAAGATGAGGCGGTTAATGTTTAAAATCTGATCATGAGAACTGCCTTTGTCTCATTAAGTTTGATTAGAATGTTCTAAGCTGTAATGAGATTTAACGAAAATTCAAAAATTTATTGAACATTTTATGTTAATTTTAATCGAGTGTTTCTTATATTTAAAAAATGTAAAGTGGCGTCCGTAAACAATGGAAACAACGGCGTCTAATTGGTTTATACTCGTCTTGAGTTTAATACTTAATGTTTTAAATTAGTTGAGGAACGTTGCACACAATAACAATCATTAATTATTAATAATTATGACATCAAAGTAATTAAATTCAACGTGCTGCTTGTACAAAGCGGCAGCATTTTCAGTCAATTGATATTACAACATCTTCCATTATTGAATAAGCTATTTTATTTTAAGGAAAACTAGGATAGGTACAAAAGTAATTTTGGGTATTAAGCTAACTTTTGAACTGGAAGTATTCGAATCTAGTCATCTATTTTTTTCCATCATATCAATTTAGTTTTTTTCAAATTTGTATTGAACTCAACTTGTATTCAACAATTTTATTTAATTATTACATTTTTTATTAATAACAATTTTTGGTATAATATTTTTTTGTGCTAAGAACAATAGACAGAGATAATACTCATCCCTAAATTGACCAAATTGTTGGCTACATTTCGCTGGGAAAAACACTTTTTGTTCTTAAATGCAGTTCGAATGTCTATTTGTTTTTTACATTTTCTCGCATTTCTCTTTTTTTCATTTTATGCCGTAATTATTAAGCTTAACTTTGTCTTCTTATTTTTTTGATTTGCCACTTATTATTTATCTACCCGGAATATCCAATCTTGTCTTTGCCGGAGTTTGTCTTCAGTATGTGTTTGGTATTTGTGTTAATTTATGGTTTCTAATTTATTTATATTGAGTTTCCAATTTCCACCTGTATTTTTGTATGTATTTTTGCAGCCAAACTGAAATTTTACTCAAGTTATTTACAGTACTTTGCCTGCATTCTGATTATATCAATTGTCTTTTTAAAATGAAGTTAAAAAGTCTACACTCTTGCGACCTTAAACAGAATTCTTTAAATCTGTAGAGGAAATGAAATGTAAAAATATTTATTAAAGTGTCAGCTAAACTTGGTAGTATTTTCCTTAACTTGCCAAACACATTAAAACAGTAAAAAAATTAAACCCTTTGTGGATCGAATTAAAATTGTCACGTTCCTGGGTTTCTTTTTAATCTATACTTGTGATCTTCAGTTTCCTCCGCTGGGCTTTATTTGAACTTTTCCGCAATTTTTTTAGTAATCCCGATCGCAATGTGAACTCGGGTTTTACACGTATGATTGATTAATAAGTTAATGATTGTTTCATTAGGGAGGTGAGCCCAAGTCCATATCAAATGCCGCCAGAACGCGAGCCGAAAGGGAGAAGGACAGGGAGAGAAAAATCGGACACCGGAGGGTGGGAGTTGGTGGCGAAATTACATACAAAAAGATTCAAACGACCACCATTATGGGATCCATTCAACTTGGTAAGATTTCGTATTTTCAAGTTAGATTTATTTTGGATTCACGTCGTTTCATACCTCAAGCCATAGCAGATGTACTGGGTGGAACCTTCCGTATTTTCCAAACCAAACCTTATTTTCATCGTTTTATTATAACTATCCGTATTTAATTAGGTATTTATTGGTGCTATGTACACTTGGCAGATAATTAACAGGTGTTCCAAGTGTTCGTTAAATAATTAGGTTTGATAAGGGACTTTATCGGGTTTTAATGAATTGACGTGAATTTATGATGAATTAACGAAAATAATGGAATTATTCAACGTATTTCATGTATTACTCCAGTCGGTTTATTCATTAATTTTTACACAGCCTATTTATACTTAACCGAATAAAAACTTGCAGCTTGGTTTTTTATTCATTTTATTATCAATTATATGATATGTCTCCATAAGTTGAAAGCATATGGAAAACGTTTACTGTTTATTTAGGAATTATTCTTCATAAAAAGTTCGGCGTGATCTAAAACTGCAATTATCAGATTTTCAGTCGTATACGAGGTTTACCGTTCTTTCTGACAATACGGAAAAATGTTATTAAAAAAGGTTGATCAAAACTAATAACCACCATTTAAAATGCAGTTACACCTTTTTAAGATAAATATATATATAAATAATCTTTATTTCCTACAGAAAAAGGCTATCGACCCAATCGGTCTTTCTGCCCTAAGATAAATAATTAATTCGTTTTGTTGTTTTTTTACAAATTTTTGAACATTATTATCTAATTTAATTTTACTTTATGTCAGATATGCCCATCCTAGATTTCATGTCCTACAGTTAAAGTTGCATTCTTATTGCAGATATACGTTTCAAAAAAAGGATAAATATTTTTTTATTAATGGTTTGACCAACTTATTTTAATAACAATGTTCGATATTTTGAAAAATAAAGGTACCTTACTTTTGAGAAAGATTAACATTTTTCGACAAAGCTCATATACGCCTAAAAAAAATTAATATTTGTTGGTTGCATTTTAGGTTTTCGATCACGCAGAACTTTTTTTCTTAGTACTATTTCACCAATTGTCGAAAGATTTCTTTGCTGGGCAGTTTTCTTTTTAAAGCATCAGATATTGTTTTTAACTTCAAATCGGGTTCATCAAGATGTTCGAAATACATTTTAAATTAGTAAACGTTTGAAACCATTTGCGTATGGCGATTTTTTAATTGAACGGCATTTAATTATCATCCAATTTTTCATATAAAACCATGCAACAGTTGAAGAAGTTTCTTCGTTTTGTTCTTCAAATTATATGATTAGAAAAATTCATCTATTTGAGTCAACAACTATTGCCTTATCTGTAGTAAAAACGTTGTGTCACAGTCTGGTGAGAACAGACATCATTCTGCGATAAATCCTTGCATTCTTGTATTTAAACAATGACTTTGCCAATAAATTACTATAGAATGTGCAATATGCTCGTTAACATTTTCACTTGCTGATGGCAGAAACGTAATAACAACCATGTTTCTGTATGTGTTAATTAAAAAAAACCTCTTGATCATTTTTATACAAAATTACTAGTAATCTGAATACCCTATAATGCATATCTACTGTGTTGCATCAAACCCAATAAATTTCACCGAGATTAGATTCCTTAATGATTAAGTGTTTGTTGTTTCTGATAAATCTTATGTTCACATAAGCTTAACTCTATAAGTAATCCAAGTGATACAGTCATGAGCTAGATTGCAAAAGCGCATCATTATTATCTATGGGTTCAAGCAAAAAGTATCTCCTTTCGATTGCAGAAATTAATATAAGCCCCCGGACTATCATGAAAAATTTTACTTGTGTGCAGGCACCTGTCTAAAGACTACAGGGCGAAGGGGCGGGGCTTATTACGAACCTATCAGAATTGTCCTAATAGTCCGGGGTTATATGTAATTTTTTTACTATTCAGTATAAAATACTAAATTACGTTGGCTTACACATTATTCAAGTTTAATTACTTGTTGCAAAAAAGGTGTTCGTTATTATTGGTATTACATCGGCTGGTTCAAGGTGAAGATTTCCGCACATGCAACAAACCTTAGATACATTAGCAGTGAAGGCAACAGTATTTCAGCTTTGCCTATTAAACTATTTCGGGCTTCATTCGGGGTATTTGCTTCTCATTCAGTTCGACCGCGATATTACCATCAACTCTTATCACAATTAGTAATAGAAAATGCTACACCAGATAACCGACGGTCCAAATAATGTCGGAATGTCAGCTTAGTGGATTTTATCTATTTACACGTTTAGTAACTCTAACGCTGATACGCTGCCTAACCCCGACTCAGTGAAAGATTTGTTTTTCTAAATGCAGAATGTATCTCGAACCTGGATATTTTCACGGGAGTTTGTCCTGCATCAGTTTCGTCAAACATCAATCCCATTTAAACAAGAAGATTCAAACAGGTGTGTTTCTAGTAGTTAGTGTTTATGTCAATTTTGCCTAATTGAAGCCTAATGGAGGAATAATTCTTAGTTTAGTGATGAATCATTGAAGTGAAATGCACGGTAACACTTAATTATGTTGAAGCAACATTGATTTTAATTAGTGTTTCCAAATGGAAATACTGTTTACTAGTGTTATCATTGGACAAGTTATTAAAAATAATTTAATATTGAGGTAAATCAATCGATATTGAGTTATAAAATGCGTCAGGGAACTAGAGAGATTAGTGATTTTTGCCCAAAAATAGATGTCGATGTTCCAGTACTGCTAAATTATTTACCGAAAAACCTAACTTTTTAAAAATATCAACTTTTCACAAAAATATACAGAATAAAAAATCGCCATCGTTATTCTTTCCCCATTCAACTTCTCATATCACTGATACAAACTCTTGAATTAATGATGGCTGTGACGTTAATATATTATTAATTCTTTGACCCCAAAACAATTTTTATAGATGCTTATTGAAACATATTTCCAGCTAAATCAATAAAAATCATACTTCCAAGACTTGCTAAACAATTAGATCGACAACATTACGAAACTGTTTGCTCATTAATTTGCTTTATTCAAATTTATTATTTGATGACGCACTATCAGGATTAGCACATGGGAAACTCACAGACAGTTTGTATTATAAGGCGATTTTGTCAGATTTGGATGCTTGTCGTAATTAAGGCACACTTCAGTTAATTGATTTAAGAAAAATTTGCTAAAAATTGTTCAATTTGTTATTTACACACCTTCTGTTTTAATGTAGACGGTATAAAGTAAATACAAATTTTAATGTACAATATCTAAGTAGTAACGGGTTGATGAGAAAAAATTATAATTAATTTAATTAAAAAATACACTATAATTTAATAGACCAGCAGTCGTTCTTATTGTCTTCTAAACAGAGGCAGTTTCTCAATAAGTCTATTTCTAATAAATTCCAGGAATAAAAATATTTCGAGCGCGAATACAAAATCAAGTTCTATGTTTTTAGGTGGCCATTCTGCACATTTAGTTCGTGTACGGCCTTTATTTTATTATGGTTTCGGATTGTTTAGTTAGTAGCTGCACGTACAGTATTGACGATCCGATCAGGATTCTTCTTATTAATAAAATTTAGTAGACCCCTAAAGTATTTAAACACACGCTGTTATTGCTCTTAAATTTGTACATTTTTTAGAACTTTTTAGAAAATTCTGATTAGAGAAGGTAATTAGTGAATCACATTCTTCTGATAATTGATCTAAAAGCTCAGTAGGGCTGATCAGATGTTTTCAACGTTTCCAGAGCTGATAACTGTAAACTTCGCTCTCTCTTAAACTTACAAATTTGTGCTTCCACCTTTTAAAAGGTTAGCAATTTCCAATAAAATTTACTTTATATTTTTTTTCCAAAAGATACAAATTATGAGAAAAAGTCTTAACTAGATCTTTATTTTTTTTAACTTTCAGGGTGTTTTACGAAATTCGATCAGAACATGTTCATTTCGATTGAAAGTGATCAAAATCCTTTGAGATTATAACTTTTTTATCATAACATTGCCAACAGACTTCATCCTTTTCTGATGGTCTCTCACACTACACTAAAATCAGTCTCATCAATATTTTATATGTTCATCGCGTAAGTACAAGAATAATGCTATTTATTTATTTGCAAGTAACTTATGTTTACCGAGATTAATTAAATAACTTAATCAATATTCTGCTTCTAGCTCTTGCTTAAGTGGTTTTGAATTATCAACAATAAAGCAGATCGAATGTGTCTTCTTTCCGACCGCTCCACTTTCTCCCAAGCAATTTTATGTATGCGAAACATGTATATGAAGTGCTAATTGAAAGTCAAATTCAATTAAGATGATTGTTTGCCTGCAAACTTTAATGCGCATTTTAAGTTACACTTTCATACAAAGATTTTTTTCAAAAATTTATCCAAATAAGTTTAAGCAATGGAAGTTCAGAGTCACTTTTCTGTTCGTTTAATCCTAGTGGAGTGTGAACATTATTCCATATTTTACGTGAGACGTTTTGTAATTTTTCAAACAGAAATCCAGAATAATTGCAGTGTATTCTTCAAGTTTCCTTGCGTTCGTATTTTCAATCAGAACACACTTGTTCTGGGCAGTATAAAGTTTGAGGCATTCCATTGGGTCAAAATTGTAAATTTTCTCGAAAACCGTTCGGTGGATTGCAATTCGGATGCAATATTTGCAGCCGAATTTTGCATGGATTGTAATTTTTTTTCGTCATGATAGTTTATTTTTGCAAATTTATTTTTTGAGACTAATAAAGCAATTTTTAACTAAAAAATAAATAATTTTCACTTGTTAACTCAATATTCCAATCCTAAAAAATATTTATTTTGGACCGGGCATTTTGTCGAAGTCAAACAACAACAGTATTTTTAGAGATTTCAAGCTATCTAAAAATCATTTTTTGCGTTTTTGTCATGCAGGGTGTTAAAAATATGAGCATTAATGTGCACAATTTGGTTGGTTCCGTTCAAAATCAGTTTTAAAGGCACTGTTATTATAAGTGGTTTTAGCTAGTGTCTATTGTGATAAGAAATTATCAAATTGTACCAAGTACTTTAAAAGTTATTGAATTATGAACCTTAAGATTTAAAAAAATATTTTTGATCTTTTGACACCCTATATCTGTTTCCGCAAGAAAGGCCACATTTTTTATACATTCTGTATAATATGGGAAAAAAATGGGGGGCTCCACTTTTTTTCCGGCAATATAATTTTTCTTATGCAATACATTAAAATGTTCTTCTGGCTTATTAGTAACTGTGATGTTAATCAGATTAAAATCTTTATCTAAAAAAATAGTTGCATTTATTGAGTATTTTATACAGAGTGTCCCCCCCCGAACTTAGGGACCAAACGGAAACCCTGCAATCTGCTTTCGAAAATCAAATTTATGTTGCAAATAAACATCTAACGAAATAGATTTATTAGGACAAATAGAAAATAGAAAAAAATATTCAAAAAGAAACGATTCAAAATTTTTGTTTTTTTCTGTCCTCTTCTTCAAATTCTGAATGTTTTTCGGAAATATAAAAATGAAACTTTCGTTTGAATTACTTAATAAATTACAGGGTGTTGTTGTTTGTGTAGTCCAAATAAACGTTGCGTGCTCCAGGTGTAATCGCGCGTGCTTTAATACGGTCTTATCGCATCGCTTAAATAATTATTCAACCATTTATTCGCACGAAATATTATCTGATACTAACAAGGTACACATTGGGTTAAGGTCACCTATATCAAAAGCCTTGCACTCGTAGTAGTTTATACAGTTCCGGTTTCATAAAGTTCAATGTCTTTTGAGAAAATTCAAGTAGTTGAGGTATAGGTGGTAAAATCCGATTTAAAAGCGAAAATTATATCATGACTATCATTTGTATTTCAAATATCCACCGCCCACTTTGGATGGAGTGCATAAATCACCTGATTTGACTGGAATTTATCATTTACTTAAACATTTTTTAAATATTTGTCGTGGTTAATGTCTACGTACCTTTTTCCTTAAGCCTTTAAGGGAAAATTTTCACATTGAATTAATATGAATAAAATATGTAACAATTAATTATTTTAGGGATTCAACATGCAGTGGGCGGATTGGCTTCCAAGCCCGAAAGGGATCTGTTGATGCAAGACTTTATGACCGTTGAGACTACAAATTTTCCAAGCGAAGGTTCAAATCACACGCCAGCTCACCATTACTCTGACTTTAAATATAAGAACTACGCGCCCATTGCTTTCAGATACTTCAGAGATTTGTTTGGGATTCAACCGGACGACTTTCTGGTAATTTCCCTAAAAATTCCCCCTTTTTTGCTCTCAATTTCATCCTGCAAGTGTATTTTTTTAATGTTGTAGATGTCAATGTGCGATACTCCATTAAGAGAACTATCTAATCCTGGTGCGAGTGGATCGATTTTTTATTTGACTAGTGACGATGAGTTTATTATCAAGACTGTTCAACACAAGGAGGGCGAATTTCTCCAAAAACTACTACCAGGTACTTAATAACAATGTTCAACTATCTGAGTCCCAAATCCACTGTATTCGCCACTAATTTAAAATTAATTTCCAGGCTATTATATGAATCTTAACCAGAATCCCCGAACTCTACTTCCAAAGTTTTTCGGCTTGTACTGTTACCAGTGCAACAGTAAAAACGTCAGACTTGTAATTATGAACAACTTATTACCTAGTAATGTAGTCATGCACCAAAAGTACGATCTTAAAGGAAGCACCTACAAAAGAAAGGTAAATGATTTGAACGAGAAAAATACAATCAATGACAGACGTGAATGTATTTGCAGGCGTCGAAAGCCGAAAGACAGAAACGCTCGCCCACCTACAAGGATTTAGATTTTATGGAACACCATTCGGAGGGTATATTTATGGAGTCGGACACCTACAATGCCTTAATGAAAACCATACAACGAGACTGTAGGGTGTTAGAAAGTTTTAAAATTATGGACTATAGCTTACTGTTAGCAATACACAATTTGGATCAAGCCCAAAGGGAAAAACTAGTAAGCGGTTGCTAACCGATTTTTTGCCCATCTACACTGTGAAAATCACCCCCTAGGAAAAGAAATCTCATACGAATCTTCAACACCTACAACAGGATGGAGATAACGGCGGTCCCAGCAGTTTAATGGCGCAAGAAGAACGGGATAGAGAGAAAGAGGATCGGATAGGAGCGGCCGCCCTAAATAGGAGTCGCTCGATAAACAGGCAGCGATTGGTTGCACATTCTACAGCAATGGAAAGTATACAAGCCGAATCTGAACCTATAGATGAGGATGATGATACGCCGTAAGTATCTCAATGTCGATTAAATAAATAGCACTAATTGGTTTTTCAAACTTTAGTGTTGGTGGGATACCCGCACGAAACGACAAAGGCGAACGACTGCTTCTATTTATTGGTATAATAGATATTTTACAAAGTTATAGGCTAAAGAAAAAGTTGGAGCATACTTGGAAATCTATGATTCATGACGGGGTAAGCAGGAACTGCAATTAGCTAACTTGTTTGATAAGCAAATGTATGATTTTCCTTTACACGGTTAAAATACATGATCTAATTGTACATGTACGATTTAAACTCAGGCTCATTTGAAGCAGAAAACTGTGGTTTGATGATACTTTGATTTCTTTTTAAAAATCTGTTATTTATCTCTTCCTGTTATGCCTATTTTCAATTAAACTATAGGCAGTCTAGTTATATTTCATTTAATAAAACTAGTGAGTAATTAGCCGTTTAATTAATATATGTGTTATTTTGCAGGATACCGTTTCAGTTCACAGACCAAGTTTTTATGCTCAGCGTTTTCAAAAATTCATGGCTGAGAAGGTTTTTAAGAAAATCCCATCCCGTAAGTATGCATTTTACCTAAAGTCCTTATTCGTACTTACTTAATTGTAATGGGTGTACTGTAATGAGTATCTAAATGTTTGATGGGAAGCATTAAACTTTAATTAAAAAGAACACATTTGTTTAGGCGGATTTATTAGGTTTCTTAACTGAAAAGGTTTTTTATCAGTTTTAACGAAGTGTAAGTGCAAGTCACGGGAGAACGAAAAGATTTGTTAATATTTCTGCAAAGGAAAATTGGGAATACGTGGCTTTTATCTTATGAAATTTAGATTTTTCGGAAATTTTGTTATGAAATTTAGCCAATCATTTGAATATCTTTCAACTTAATATGTTGGTTGACTTCGATTCTTTTCTTAAATTTTAACTTTAAATATATATAATTCTGATGACAATTTATATGTTACTAATATTCAGTGTTTACTAATACATAACTTACATAAGCTTAACACAGGAATGAATTTATCATCTTATTGAAAGCGAACTTTTTGTTGTTTGTTTTTCAAAAACACGCAAGCTGTGTAAAAATTACCAAATTTCTGAAATATTTTTTAATTTTCTTAATGAAGTTGGTAAAGAAATTTACAAATTGATGGCCTTTCGCGTTTTAATTGGCAACGCTTCGCTTTTTCACATTGCGTATAATTAAATTGGCGTCAAGAATCTAATTTTGATTTTTTGTTCTCACTTTATTTTTGTAAGCTATTACTTTTACAATAAGTTAGAGTTTTATGTTTCCTGATATGCCACCCATCTATGTAATAGTTAGATTCAGTGCATCTGGGTGTTTCATAAAAAACATTGAAAAAATGCTCAATTTGAATGTACTGCTTTTAACAGTTCAATTAATCGTATGGTTTGGAAATCAACATGTTGTTTTTTATTTTTACCTATTAAAAAAATGTTAAAATATGTTTGTTCTAATTATCATAACTACTTCAATAATTCACACATTGTTTAATCTGATTTTACTCTTGTACTGTGCATAGAAATTGATTTCTATGGCGTATTTAATAGTTTCGCAAAATAATGTTTTGTTTCCCCTTTTTTTGAATTAACTATTGTTAGCTAATGAAATTTCGAATAAATTTTTCCATTAAAATCCAACCCAACACTTGCAATTTTAACTTCCTTACTTTGTTTAGGTAAACCACTCAGTAGGCTATTTTATGGAAATTTAGTTGTTTAAAATCCGCCTTGATATTGCCAAGTTTAAAACAATTTTGTGGCCCCATATAGTTGTTAAATGACCCTATCCTTAATGTGATAGTATTGTGGTACTGGGTAGATAGATATCTGATTTTTGTGTGTGTTTCAATGCTTCGTTGTAGTGGACATGCCTGAAATTAAGGGCAACCATCGTAAATTCCGCACCCTGGTAACGAGCTACATAGGTAAAGTTGGTTTCACACATTTGTTATTCACATTTTGTTCAGTTTTCGCACGATTCTGTTTATTTACTTGAGACCTGTTTGGCAATTATTTCGCCTTGGAAGTACATACATATTATCAGCCTCAGTTTAGTGTTGATATCACTACTGCTGGATTTGTATTGCTTTTGCTTGTGATTTAAAACCAATATTTTAACAGAATTAATTGCCCCAGTATCGTAAATATTCGATAAATGTATCGAACATATATTGCTAAAGTTTGTACAAATTTGTCCACCAATCACACAAATGCAAGTAATGCACGGCTGAAGTAGATGGTTTGAAACCCTATAATTCCCTATTTTGATACAAACTTATAACTGCTCAGAATCAAAAATCAGCCATCAATTTAAGCAAAAGTTGTATCTTTATAGCATTATGTTCCAAGGGAATTATAGGTTTGTCTTGTTACTCCATCAATGTACATTTTCTCCGTTAATTGTGCGTTTCAAGGCTTTAGGCAACAGGTCATCGGTGCGACTGCTTATTTTGCTAAAATATCGCTTTTTTTCTTATTTTGTAGAGTTAACAAATTTTCATGTTTATTTATTCTATTTGTTCTTGTTACAGCTCTGAAGCATTCCCCTTCGAAAAGAAAATCGCTGTCAAAACCTTTGAGGCATGAAGAGTTGCTCGAAAACAGTAAGTACCGCTCTTTATAGTTTTTTCAGATTAAAGAACCGTTTTTATTATGAGATTTTTTGTCATTGTTAGATTGTTACACTTGTTGATGTTTATTCCGATTCTCCTCACTTGTCGTCCGAAAACTAATTTTAATTCTAAAAGTAATTATAGAAATATTTAAAATAAATGAATTCGGTTAAAACATACACACTTCTCGTTCGAAAATAGGAAAATTCGAAAACTCACATTGAACTGCGTATGTTCAATGTGTGTTCAAAAAAAATGTTCGTTCTAATTTAAGCAGATTAAATGACTTATTTTCCTGTCTACTACTACTATTTTTTTTTTTTTACTTTTTAGGCCAAAATATTTATGATCTAGCTTTTCCAGTAAAATTACATTTACATCAGCAAGCTCTGAATGCTTTTTGCTATTTTTACCAGCAAAAGTGTATGTTCATATTTACTTTATATTTGCTAAACTATTTCAATCAGACGGTGTATATTATAATACAGGGTGTTTTTCTCTGAACTGCATTGAAAGAAGACTATAAGCCGTCCAACAATGATTATTAATGTTTTGTTGGGCTAAACATCAGTTTAGCTTTTTCAAATAGAACACCCTGTATATTATATCATAGCATAATATTTAAAGGGTCAATTAGTTTTGTCTACTAAAATCTTTAGGGTTCCCCTTAAAGCGTTAATCAACAGCCTTTGAAATATTGAGGAATTTACTGAGATTTAAAAGTGTTTCTGGAAAAAGATTAGATAAAAGGTGTGAGTCAACAATTGTGTTATAAAATAGTGACTTTTCTATCGGTTCTCAGTACAAGCGAAGCGATATTAACTTGAAAATATGCTTCTTCGATCCGGCCATCGGCTTTAGACTGCAGTAAAAAAACCTGAAAAGTTTTATCAATTGGATCCTCGTTGCAGTTGATTGAGAAGCACCCTGTAAAAGTATCTCGTTCTGTGCATCGTTGAATGGTTGATTTTTTTCATTTCTTTACGAGCCCATAAACATTCAGTGTGCTCATGCATTATGTTTCTTTTTCATGCTGCTTACTTGGATTGTTATTTCCCTCCTTCCATTTTCTATACGTAATTGTTAGCGAGTCCCACAGAGCCCGTGCCGAGCACAAAAAGTGCCCCACCTTCGTATCAGCCCCCCATTACTACGACTTCTGCATCAACAGCGCCGATGTCTCCAGCTTATAATTCTTCTTCCTCCACTGCGTTGACTTCGCCGCCGGCGATTTTTCCCGCAGTCTTAGTCGGGTCGAAGCAAAAGGTTCCGCCACCGGTACCCCCACGGGGCACCCCCAAACCTAAGCGAGTCGACTTGGGCGGAAAAGGTGTGAGGGTTTGCCTGCCGAAAGCGGGCGTTTTTGAGCTGGATGTGCAAAACCGATCTAGCCTTTTAGCACCTTTGATTGGTAGTTCATGTGTTGTGCCCTCGCCAAGCCTTACCAAAGGCCACGTTCGTAGAGTAGTGGCTCAGTTTAATCTGGGTTCTAGTCTTGCTTGCAGTAGTAACACTATAGAACATGCAGCACTGAGTGGCGACTGTTTAGATATGCGATCCCCTCGTGCGGCCAAACAACTTTTAAAATACGATGAAATCATCGCACTTGGTAGTGTTAGTAGTAAATTTGAAAAATTTGTCTGAATCAGTTCTCTACACCCGCATTGAGAGTTTAGAGTTTAATTGGAAACTCCTTGCATGGGCACGACTTAGTGACTTGTTCTTTTCACCAGGTCCATATTCTTATAGGCTACACTCCCAAAGAAGACTAAGCTTTCTTGCTTGCACAGTTGCTTGACTTGTTTGTAGTGTTTGTGTTTTTTTGTTGAGTTTGTATTCATTGTCTTGTTCGCGATAATTCTTCACTCTGATTCATTAACGGCATGTTGTTAAGTCCCAGTTTTCCATTTCCACCGTTTTCTCAGCTACCCATGGAGCAATAGTTGGTGGTTCAACAGCGAGCTGAAATGGACGATGCTTCTATGGAGAATCTGGAAAGTGTGCTGGGCAATTTATGAACCAAAGAAATTTGCCAGATTGGCAGAATTATATTTATTAAAATTAACAGAAAGCATAAAAGTAACGATACCGTTAATTTGAGCCGAAAAAATTGCCAACAATTAATCAAATAACGCGGTGGAAATGGATGTTAATTTTTATCTACATCATTCATTGCCTACCAATAAATCGAAATCATCAAGAACTGTTGGTGTGTTTACGACAACTAACAGAATGCCCTTTTGGAAGTAGTCCTCTCTCATTCAAACTGAAATTGAACTAAACCTCTACCAGCTAATATAGTCAACCTTTATGTGTGTGCAATCTAACACCAAAATTAGTGGCTAGACTGTAGTGCAGCGCTTGTATGTGCAGGTGTAGTACCCAGTTGCTGCAGCACCCCACCGCCAACGTATTCCGAAGGATTCGATCGAAGTGACGCTGGTTCCACTATTGGTTCGGTATCGGGACATGCATCTTTAGCTCGAGGTTCCAGACATCATACTGGGCACGATCACAGCTCCCATCATCATGTGAAGCACTACAAGGATGATTCAGTGAGGTAAACATTTGATTATTCTCAATAGTGATATGGGATTTGATGGTATTGATTAATTATTTCTGGGTTTTTTATAAATTAAAAAAAGAAGAAAGCGAACTTGTGCTGGATAATACACTTGATAAAATTGAATAAAAAAAGCCTTGTGTATTGAAAAGTGTATGTGATTCAAGGGTATATCGCATAACCCTTGAATATTGGTTATAGCCAAGCGCTTTCCTCAATTACGCCGAAAAAGACAACAAAGTAACAGTTAGTACCCTGGGGGATTCAGTGCAATTGGAAAAGAAAGAAAATGATACGGAAACTTACACGTCAAAACACAGGCAAACATTCCCTAGAGCGAGCAGAGAACAAAACATGAGAAACGTACGTTAAAATGGTTAAAATAGTAGAGAACAAACTGACGAGAAAACGGACTAAAATTATATGAAAATGAGCAAAAAACTTAGTCAGGTGACCACTTTGATACACTTTAACGTTAAAGATTAATATGGCTTTTGCACAAAATTTATTGATATTTACCTTTTCCTTATTCGGGCGAAACGCTGATAAAATGCTTGTGTAACTAAAAACGATTGGATAGTAAAAACTAAATGATTGGGCGACTGGCGTCAATAGTCGAGGTTTGTTCGCATAGACCACCGACTTCAAATATCCCCACAAAAAAATCTAGTGGAGTTAAATCGCAACTTCTTGGAGGCCAATAAACAGTTGCTTTTATGCGAAACTTTTTCCCATAATGAGATAGGGGGCTTTAGCGAAACAAGCTTTAACCAATTGGGTTTTTTAGAATCTGGCAATTTTACATTCAACTTTCAACTCAAAGGTCTCAAATCTGGTCTGCTAGCAGGCCACCTGGTGGACTTTAACAATTATTGTTTAAATATCGTAGCAAATGCATAATTGGTTCAACATACAGTTCACAAACTAACCAACTAACGGAAACTGAACGGGAAGTTTATTGAGAAATGTATTGATTGTACTTATCTGTTGTAGCACTGTAGTTGCATGAGACTGACACGCACTGACTGTTGTCGATTTATTACTCATTTTCAGTTATGTTTCCAGTATAACTGATATAAAGTTGGTATCTCGAGCTGAGACAAAATCGTCGCTGAGTGTCGAATCTGGTGGAAGTTCCACGGCTGGAGGTCATTCTTCGTCTGGCGGTCACTCTTCTCGGACCGGATTGGCTTGGACGCCTCCGACGTCCGTCGAGGGATCGACGCCCACCTGGACCGAAGGTACACCTTCATTTACCGAATCGTCAAGTAGCGGGGATATGGGTGAGTGCCGGTGCTTTCTGGCTGGAGCTTCTACTCGTGCTTCTCTATATATTTGTAGGTCTAACAATAACCGCTTAGTAGAGATGTTGAGTTCCGTTACTTTTGAGTATTCTTTACTCTCATCTGTTGCAATCGGTTAAACTTTACAACTGGCCTTCAATTGCATTTAACTTAGATTAAACTAAAAAAGCAGAAGCAATATTCCGCGTCGTTATGCAAAAATTTAATAGATTTTTAAGCTAGAAAAAGTTTCCTCCATCGAAACCGAAAGTAAATGAACTTCAAAGTTTGTAATTAATCTTCATTGCTTAAAGTTTTTTTCCAACTTCTCTACTGATCAGTTCAAACAAAGAGCTTGTGATCAAGTTATTGAACTTGATAGTTTTATGCATTGAAAACTAGAATTATTTTTTATTGTCTAAACTAGGCTGTTAGAGAGCAAAAGTTGCATGTCTTACTGGACTGTGTAGGGGCTTTTGCAACTCTTACTGTTCCATACATTATTGGAATTCAGCTTCAATTTCTACTGATCGTTTGAAAGCAAACGAAAACTCTTGTCTTATACACAACGTACAATTGCAGGCTTGTTTTTGCTACTATCTATTTGGCTGTTTTAAATTGCACATTTACATACTCTGTTTCTGGTTCATGGTTGAAATATTACTCACAATAAATGTCCGCAGGTTGTCCAACGACTCCACTAAGACCCGGATCGGGAGCATCGTCCAACAAACATCACAAGAAGACCGTGGAACATGCAATCAACTGCCTTACAACTGAAATGGTAAGTCTCAAGCGCTAGATTTTCCAGTTGTTTTAACCATTTGCATTGTGATATCCGCTCTTAATAAATGGAGACTTTCTTATGTGTTTGGTCTTAGCTCTCAATATCGAGCGTTAATGCGATAAGTCACTATTGATCACAGATCAATGCGACTCAATTCATCCATCAATTGAAATTAGTGGGTTTAACATTTAAATCAGTTGTAAAAGTTGTTGACTTTTTACTCGCACGAAGGGCTGAGTAAAATGCAAGAAAGCGATTTTTCAATAAATCAAAAATTAGACCGAACATATGCGGAGTTGATTAACTCCAGTTCGCTAAGAAAATGCAAATTGTTCAATCGACTTTTTTTGTAATCATCGAGTTTCACTGCACGGTTATAGGGTTTTGTGAAAATCAGTTGTTATTACACGTTAAGTAGTTTAACTAAGATCTTGTCGACAGATCATACACAATTTAATAGCCATGGTCCAAAATTTATTGCAAGTTTGTTATGTATTTACTGGCGAGGGGTTAACTATTTTTCAACCTCGCGAACATTCAAAATTTAATTGCGGGTTTTTGGGTTTTTCTTAATTGACTCCCGTGTTTGCCTCGTAGTTATAGACTATTTTACATCACCCTATGCATGCTTTTCTCTAGCATTTATTTTTAATAGCGCATTTTTATTATAGCTGGTAGACTTAAAAAATGAGAGACTTTTTCACAGACCTTTTAGGCCTTAACTCGCTACACGTTTTTGTGAAAAAATGAAAAGTTGTTGGTTAATAGAGCATTTGTAACAGTATTTGATTTTGTTCCTAATTTTCAAACTAACAATCATGCCAAAGGTTTACGGAAACCCGTTTTTTACTTCTATAGTTACAGCAGAAAAACACTATTGAATCGGCAGACGCATTTGCTTGAAGTATTTTCTATTAATAACCTTCTTGCTTATCTGGATTTAATTTTAATTTGTCCTACTTTTCAATGTTTAGCATGCCTTTTGTGAAACGTATGTTTTGCCTTTGTAGCATCTGTTTAACTATTACACTGTTTCAATACTTCATTAGGAAAAAAGTCACTACAAGACTGAAATTGCTTAAACTGAAAAGTATTGTAAGTTTTTCCTTTGTTATATTTTTTTTATATATAAACATATGTAAAAAAATTGGGACAAAGGAAAAGTGGACATTGCTGGATCATTTTTCACGAACGAACAAAAGCAAACTTTTGTTATGAAACAAATTATTGAGGCGAAATACATTGATTTTGTTGAAACATTGTAAAGTGCAGATAAATGTGCTTGTTTGAAATGTACAATAAATATAAAACGCTGCTAGTTTTAAAACTGCGATTAATTTCTAATGAAACTAAATAACAACAAGAAAATAATATTACAATTGGTTTGGAACGTTTGTAAAAAAAAATAATAAACTGTCGACCGTATAAGGTAAAAATTTTCGATTAAAGGAGATTATTGGAGAATTATAATAGAATAGCAAAAACCCACTTGTTAGTATAGCAATATGTGACATCCAATTGTTAAAGAGAGCGTTAGAAATCTACACATTTCTGTTGGTTTCATTGTTACCATTGTAGCTTCTATGTCAAAAGTTTCTGTAAATTTTGCCCAGTTTTTTTTCTCTATTTTATCACTCATTTCCAATTGATCATCGAATTAATTTTATACCTTTTTATTCATGGAGTTTTGCAACATGTGGCGCTATTCGATGCCAATAAGCAAAGCCAATATTTCCAATTTTTATTTAATTCCGAATTTTTAAAACTCTTATCTTAATCGCATTTTTTTGTAAACGTTGGTTTTGATTCGTACCTAAAACAATTTTTACTTGAGGAGAAACTATACGAACTAAACATAGTTTTAAAAAAATCTAAATCTAGTATTTACGCTAGTACTTTACAGTTTTAGTCTGAGTTATCTATCTTTGATAGGTCATATATTTCTATACCAACAAGAAGAGAAAAGTTTCTTTCAACATCTTGCCTCGATTATTCGGCTGACTCGCTTTGCCTTTAATGCAAAATAATCTTTTATTAATACTGAATTGCGTTTTCCTAAAAGGAAATTGAACCAACTAAATTTCCTCGCTTAAGTTTGGTTGCAACTGTTCATTTAGTAACATTTTTTAATCTCGCTGTAGTCTCCCATTTATATTAAGTAGTAAACCAAAATAACTGGCAGCTGTGCTGTGTTGTTCTTTATTTTTATTGATTTTCGACTCTGTGTTTTTACTAACTGATTAAGTCTCTTTATGTACATTTCAATATACTCACTGTTCAGTGTATAAATCAAAGCAAGCTAACTGAAAGTTGTTTTGAACCAATTAGGAACACTTGAGAAACCGGGTAGATCTGGACTACGACTGACAATGATTATCTGTAAATTGCAGATACTTGGTGTAATAGCAAACTGATTGGTTGTCTACATCATTTCACATCAGTTCATCATGCCTATCTAACTAACTGTGTAATTGTGATAAGTTTTTGTGCATTTGGAATAACTTGCAGCTAATATGCTAACTTATGTGTTGAATTTCGTTTTTGTGTAACTAAAATTGGTCAACTAAACGTGCAAAATAGATACCTGTTCAAACATTGTAATGTTACTTTGTTATGCATCATTTCAATGTTTAGATCTATTGTTTGCTATGCCTTTTTTAGTTAGTTTAATTGCAGTAATTAATCTTATTCTTTTTAGTATGAAAATCGCTCAATACTCATAATAAGGAAGTATTAAAGCTCAGTTATCCAAACGCGCAAGTATTACAAGGAAGTTACGGATTTTCTAAATGATACCTACTCGTCATGCAGGCTCACAGTATATTCTGTTCTAGACCATTCGTACTAAATAGGTATGATTTCTAAAATCTGAGTATTAAATACACTAAAATGCATTAATTGAGACCTGTTTCAATCATACACTTCTTATGTATACATTCCATAAACCTACTATTAGTTAAAATTAAATGTATGATATGTATAAATTAATCTGGATGTATTTATCTCTGTTAAATAGCGAATTGTAGAACGTGTCCCGCAAAGTGATTGATTGGTTTAACGTACCTCTAGCCGTAAGTTAAACACACAATATTTATACCCGGTAATTAAATTTTTGCTGTAAAGATATAGACAACTCTTGAACTAAAACTTAATAATTAAACTCGATAACAATGATTCATTGTCGGGTCGGAAACTTATCGAGTGCATACTCAAATGTTTGACTTTTCAATACTTGCAATCGTATGGAGGAAAAATAGTGAACCTATTTTTCAAGGGAGTTAAGACTTTGGGTATGCAAAACATGGATACACATTTTGAGAATTAACTTTTGGCTTAAATCGGATGATATTTCATCGTTTAACCAGCTGTAAATGAATAACAAAGTGTGTATCTGATATGGAATTTGGCAATAATTGTAGCTGTAAATTGGTTATTGGTGTTCGTAGCTGTAAAACTGCAAATGTTTTCTTAATATATCAGACGGTGATTTATTAGATCTTTGGTTTATTGTGCAAGACTCTTAGAAGGAAATTAATGCGTTGAGATTTTGTGAGAATCATGGCATTATAGATTCACTTTTTATATGTTAACTGACTGAATTTAGGTAAATGTTCTGTATTTATAAATATAAATGATGTTTTTGAGGCATTTGTTTGGTGTCAGATATCGCTATGGGGGTTCTTAATGTTCACTTTATGCACATGTGGGTGCAAACTATTATTATCGGTAATACAATAATAATGGCAAGGTGAAGAATCAGTAATAACACTTTACCACCCAAGCATCTGACGACTCTTTCCTTAGTCACTCTCATAATTTTTATAATCTGGCACAGATCAGCATTCATAAAAAAGTATTGTTAAATAATCAATGTATTGTAAAAATATATCTCAGGTATATATTTGTGCATATTTACTATACAGTTGCAAATTGTAAATAAAGTAGCAAATAAGAATGAAAATTGTAAAGGATCAACATTATCCCCTAACGCTTTTTAACTTAAGTAATCAAATCTTTATAACAAAATTATTGGACATTATTTCACAGTTAAATTAGGCTTTATACATTGATGGTATTTACAAGAAAATGATCTGAAATCCATGCCAGAGATTTGATTTCCTAAGTGTTGACAACTTATTAACGCTTAGGGTATTAGTCGCATATGTTTTTTTGATAAATTGATTGTTATGTCTATAATACAAAACATATTAGGAACATTTTGACATCTTTATTGCTCTACTTAATCAGCCTTCGAAATATACTCATTTTAACTTACTTATTAAAGGAATTTTATTTTACGCTCTTGTAACAACATCAATTGAAAGTTTGTAGTTTTTCAAATGCACCAACCTTTCTGTTATTTAATTTTTAAATCCCATAAAGCTTCACACAATACTGTAGTTTTTTTCCACAAGTTTAGCCAAAATGTATATTTATTGATTGAAATCGAGGTCCCTAAAGTAAACTGTAACCAAGCTTAGCAAATTTAAGCTTTGATAACACTCATTGAACTTAATAATAATTAAAGTGAAAAGTCGGGTATTTTTCTTGCAATAATTGGAAATATATCAATAAAAAAAATTTCGAAACTGAAAGACAACTCGGAAGCTTATTATTTCCAAAAAAATATGTTCTGTAACTAAAAAACGCAATCTGTAGGTAAAAATAGTTTCTCATTCGGTTTGTTTGTAATTTAAATGGTGAGAATAGCTGGATTTCTGTTAATATGAATTCGCATTTTCATTAGTCATTCCACTTAGAGGTAAATAGTTGCCACGTGTTATACAACGATAAAAGCATGCATGGGTGATACAAGAACTATCTATGGATAAACAGTTAAATAATAATTCACAATTCAATACCACTTGTTTTAGACGCATCTATAAATCAACTATTAGGATTGCATCCGACATGAAAAAATTCTTGAGGAAAATGGAATGTGATCACTTTATATTTATGCCGTTACCTGTTTCCAAAGAAGATTTCCAAAAATAGATGTAAAATACCTTTGGTCTGTTTCAAAAACGATTGTCTTAGGTAGGTAAGTTTATATTGGCGTGAAGTGGATGTTTGCAAAATCGAATCTTATCCTAACTGTCGGGCAAGACTAGATAATATTCTTTCGGGGTCTGCAATCAAGTTTTTGGTATATTAAACAGTGAAATATTTTTTTAATTTAATTTATTATTGTTGGTCGAATTCACTGGGAAGCACTATTATGAACGACTTAAAATTCTACCATTTTTTTTCGTTAAATTTTTATTTGTTTTACACCTGTGATAGAGAGTAGCATTTATTTGGTTTAGATCTGACAAGTTTTCACTAGGCCTGGTTTATACGAGTCTATTAAATATATTTAAGCGATATATTTGAAGTTAGGCGGGTATCACAATCTGAAGAGGGCTTTTATTTGTTATGAAATAATAAGTATAAAGCTCGAATGTTGAATGTTCAGGCTAAATTAGGTACAACCCTCACCTTAAAGAAATTTATTTCATAGTTAGGAAAATGTAAACAGTATCAGTGTGGCTTAAATTTTAAGCTCAAGTCTTTCTCTACTTATTGTATTTCATTTTAGAAACTAACGCGAGATTATTTTATGTTAGGTATTAATTAGTACAAACTGAAATTGGCTTGTATTATCTTAATTTGCAGATGTATATTTATTATATTTTATAAATACATACATATTGTTGAAATATATTTAGTTTTATTTATTGTCCTTGAAGCAACGTGAAAAGTGTATGTTGTGTTTATACGCAAAATTCTTATCAAGATGGTTTTAAAATCACGTTTAATTTGTGATTTTTGTCTATTAAGTCTGTGTAAGCTATTGATTATATGTAAAAAAAATAATCAACGCGTTTTAAACGCTTGATGTACATAGTGTGTTCGAGATAATCTGAACAAATGTTGTTCACTTTTTGCGAAATCACTTTTTTCACATTACACATTTTATCGGAATTATGAATAGGATTTTTCTGATGAGCGTCATGCGGACTAACTTTCACCAATTAGGTTTCATCATAAATTCTCAACTGCTGAGAAGATAAAAGCGAAAATGTGTGACAAAATGAAAGCTTAATGAAACCTAAATCTCCGTAACAGTTCGAAATATTTAAAAACTTTTCAGAAGCCTTTTGAGAGAGTTAAAATTTTGTGTGTATTACACATCATTCTCATGAAAAACTCAAGATCAGACAATAGCTTTCCCCGTTAAGGCGTTTGTAAGTTTTAAGTCCGAAACGCTTGAAAATCGCGGATGATCGTTGGGCCTTTTAGATAGACCGGCCCATTTACCAATAGGTTTTGAAGAAGTTACAAAATAAACAGATAGAAGCAAAACGCAATTTAAAAAAATTTAATTTTAAATTACAAATAACTATTTTTCGAAAATTATAATATGTTTATATGTAAATCGAATAATCACAACTAAAATTTTCTTAAACAAATCCGTTAAAATTTGGAGCTAAAAATGAAAAATAATTTTTATTTATTACGTATTCAACTAAAGCTACTAAAGCGCAAGCCAACACATCTCTAGCGATTTAAGTTGCGGTAGTTCATTCAGAGCAAATTTTAAATTCGATTTGGAGGTTATGTTTATTTAAACATTGAAATGGAACAGAGTATTAGCAGTTTGAATTTGCCTAGAAATAAAATAATACAACTACAAAGTGTGGGCAAAAAATATTGTATTGACCTGACTGAAACCTTATTGAGTTCTCTGTTAATCGAGCTACCAAAATCACCGAAAACTGTAACAGCACTAGATTTATTAGAATCGGAATTCCTTGGGGGTCATATTTTAAGCTTAAATAGTGAATTGGACAAGGTTTTACATGGTGAAATTACTCCAGGACGAATCACGGAACTGAGTGGATTTCCTGGATCAGGCAGAACTCAAATTTGGTAAGAACGGTTACTTTGAAAATCCATTAAATTAATTGTTTGTCAACGAATTTAATGCATATATTTAAATAGATTTTAACCAGTTTACATGGCAAGTTTTCAGCTATGTGTAACCACTCAGCTTCCAGAAGCCATTGGCGGTCTGGAAGGCCAAGTGATTTATCTAAATACCAACAAAAACTTTTCTTCGACGCGTTTAAAAGAAGTAGCCGGCAAGCTGATTAAACTCTCTGGTCCATTAATGCAACATAAAACTGAAGAAGACATATTAAGCAATGTTTTCGTATTCAATGTGAACGATGTATGTGAATTGTTTGCCACCACAATATTTTTAGGAGAATTTTTGAAAACGAAAAGTGTGAGTTCTGTTGTACAGATTACTTTTTGTCTGAATTTTACTGAACTTTTCTAGGTGAAACTAGTAATTATTGATAGTATTGCCCATCCATTAAGAGCTGCTAATTCTACTGAAAGGATAACTGTAACGTACAAACTTCTTGATGGCTTCCAGAAGTTATCTAGAGCTTTCAATTTTGCAGTGAGTAGACAAATCAATGGGCAAATTTTCCCTACTTAATTCTGTTTCAGGTAGTCATTACAAACGACTTTACAACCAGAGTGAAAAACAACGAAGCTTATTACACACCTTCATTTGGGGATGGATTTTTTGAGCGAATAAACTCTAGGATATGTTTATCAAAGCAAGGAAACGTTCACACTGCCGAACTGGTAAAAAGTGTTGTGAAAAGTGAGTTGAAAGTACATTTTTGTATTGTATAAAAACCGCAATTAAGAAAAACAATTTGGAATTATACGACAATTATGGGAATTTGCAACTTTTTGGTGTGTGTTTTTTAAACACCGTGTGCAGCAAGTGGGACGCTTGTTCAGGGTTGTAAAATTCACATTTTAAAGCCCTGTTTGCGTACTTCAATTTATTTGTTAACACATGTAAACATCTCAATTTTTTAAGAAAATATGCAGATTGAAGTACAGTACTGCAATGTTTCGATTCGTCTCTTGACTTGATAGATGCATAGATGCTCAAAAGGATTAAGACCAACTTGTTTTACAAATACTACCCGGTCGCGTTTTCGTGCATTAACACAAATTCGGATCCAATCAAATGAGCGTCGGAAAATTCCGCATTTCGACGATTTTTGATGCTCTACTTATTCGAACAGCTAGTGCTAAGAGACAAGAGATCACTTTGTTACCTATGTGGTAAATGGTTAAATAGTATAGTGGTAACCATATACTTCAAAATTATATACTGGGTTTTTCTGTATCCTGGTCGCATCTGCCAAAAATGCAGGAATATGGTTCATCACTAGTGTCTAGAATAGGCGCATTCGCCGATTCAATAACATTTATGTTTCCAGACTTTCGTTTTTACATCTTTTCAAATTCTATGACTAACTTAAACTCAAATATTACATCGTTTGTGGTACTCCTGAGGTTTGTCATACAATGTTAATTTTCTTCAGGAATTATTATTTTATAGGTTGGAAGCGTTCAAAATTTCGATAGTTCAAAGTTAAGTATCTTAAAAAACATGCGCTTATAAATAAAAACAATTATTTTTAATGAAAAAAAAATCTTAACTAAATCAAGAAGCAGGATTGATTGTGATTCAAAAACAATGTTATCTGAAGAAGTTGTAGAACGATCTACAGAAAAGTAACATTTTTCGTTCGCTCAAATCTGCGTATACAATGTTACGAAAAAGGCTTTTCACAAAAAAACACAATTCAAACAACTGAGACCCCTTGTAGCGTTTTAAATGTATAATAACTATTTTGCGTTCGCGTTTTAACTGAGACTGATTGCTTATCTCCTTCGGACTTTCTTTAAGCCCAAATCTTACCGTTTTAACAGCTCACTGGAAAATGTATATACTCACCTACAATACTGTGATATTTTTACTTTAATTTCAATATTTTCTACATTAACTATTCGGCAAATATAAAACAATTACATAAAGTCAGTTGAAGTTGATTCACCCCAGTCCCCCAGTCAGTTTTTTCAGTAACCAGGTGAGCCAACCTGTTTATAAACCTTGCATAAGCAAATGACAGAAAATGATAGAATAAATTAACTAAAATAAACTAACGAATATTTAAAAACCTAGAAAACTTGATTAAAATATCGTCAAATTTTTATATTGATGTATAGTATTTATCTCAATCGCAGAAATTGAAAATTAAGAGCAGTTCAAAATAACCTTCTGTCGGAAACTTTCGCCATTCTGTCCACATTAGGCCACAGATTACAGAGTAACCTCTGTGATCTGTGCATTAGACCCCATATTGAAAATGCGGTCAGGTTTTACGAGATAGTAGGAAGATCCTGAAGTAAACAAACACAAAAAAATTAGGTTGGAATAACATAAACAAATGTAAACGAACAAAAACCATTAATTTAAAGGAATATAAGTGTTTGCAATGGATTTGATTAAATTCCTAATAGTACTTGCAATCTCAGTTACTCTAGTCACGGGAGAAGATGTGTGTTACAAAGAAACGTGCCAAAAACCTGCAAATAATTATCGGTAACACGGTAATACTTATCTAATAAAAGGAATAGTAAAATAATTCTTCCAATCAAAAGAGTTAACAACTGATGAATTTCAGATTTCTTTTCTATGATGTGAACCCATCAGAAGGTTTTAATCTTCGCCGAGATGTATACATGCGAATGGCAGTTTTAGCCAACAAACTAAAAAACTCCCAGGATCCTAACTTGAACAGTTTTCTGTTAGTTTTACCTCCCTGGTCTCATTTAATGCACTGGCCTTACAGTGAAGAGCCAGAGCACATTCCCTGGTCAATGTTTTTCGACATTAACAGTCTGAATAAGTTCGCACCCGTAATTGAGCTTCATCAATACTTTGCTTGTAAGTTTGTTATCATTGCTTGCTTATTGATCTTAAAATTTGAATTTTGTTTTAACAATATTATTTTCTTTGCTTACTCACATTCAGGTCACTAGTAAAAACTTTCATTTTTTAATTGGAATATCCTTTGTTTTTAAAGTATCTGGTTCTTAGGAGTTAGGAGAAAATGTATTTTTTTTTAATTTCTATTCTTCTAGTTAGTTCTGTTTTAACGTGTGCTCGCTAACAAAAGTCAATTGATTGTATTAAATAAATTGCTCAAAGATCAATAGAATGTATAAAAAAACGCGAATCTCAACAAAAACATCGCATAAAAATAGCACTAAAACAAATAGTTTTTAAATGGTAAATGGTAAAAACTCCTTACAGTGTTGAAGAAACAAAAGTACACGAAATGTATATTGGATGAAGTCTATGTTCTTCAGCACTTTGAAGATATGTTTGAGAGTGGAAACTTTGAGGAAAAATGGCTTATCGAAAAATGCCAGAAACCTCCAAAAATGAAATTTTTCTACTATGCGAATATCACGGCCAGTAATGTCAAATGTTTATCTTTTCATGGGCCTGCAACTAAACTTGCTGAACTCTTTAAACTAGAAAAATCCAGGTAAGCTATACTCAAATGAACACTTTTTTATTGGAAAATGTAAGATAATAGTGGGTCAAATATTTCTATACATCCTAAGTGTCGATAGTATTACTACTCTTTCAAAAATATTAATTGTTGAAGCCTCAGATCAACTAATGAGTAATAAACCGATTTGATTTGATTATCATTTAATTTTGAGATCTCATTTATAAAAATAGTTTACTCACTCGGTTTTCCTCGATAATAGAAGATTGCATGTTTCGTGACTGAAAAATTGTCTTTATGGTCACTCTATGAGAAGAGGCCTCGCATTATTCTAAGCTTAGATGAATAATTAATCAGTCAACGGCTCACATTATTTTTAGTAAATACTGAAACATATCATTTTTACTTAACAACTATTTTACTGATACAAAATTGAACTTACCCTAAACAATTGTAGTTCCTTGGACTGGGGTTGCGCAGCTTGAACTCACACGTTTTTACTTGCGTTTCAGAACTGCGATAGCTCAAATCTAGTAAAAAGTCGTCGTTCTGTCCGGCAGATTTATGTTAAAATATGATTTTGGACGGTCTTCTCTATAATCTAAACACCGTTTATTTGATTTTAGAACCCTTATGCTGGAGCGCGCCGAAGTAGCTCTTCATGATACTTTCGGGAATGACTTGTACTGGAAAGCAAGGAGAAGTATGCGATTCAATAGGGAATTGAGAAAAGTTGCTAACGATTTTCGAATCATGAAATTGGATTCGAATGATGAAGATGACTTAACCACTTTGCCTCCTGATTGGAGAGATGAAAAGGTAACAATTACGTTTTTATTGAAACAATTCCATAACACCTAGGAGACAATACCGGATCAAAGAATTGCACAATAAAGGAATTATAATGTTCATTTTCCAGTAGAAACAAAACTCGATCGAGTATGATTAAACTTTCCACAACTGGCGCCAACATGGCTCTGATTAAGTAAAACAAATCGATCTCATCACTTCTATGTTCGAACTCAGCAAGAAGTGCATTAATGTAGGTTTCAGACACTTCTAGGGGCATTTCTAGTCTTTTGGAGGCTTTTTGTACATAATCCAGAAACAGCGGAATGGGCTTTCTAAACCTGCCTACTTGTTTTTCCTTTAAACATTCCGCCTGCGAATGCTGATTCTTGATAATTTCAAACAATGCTCTATAAAATATTGACCTGTTGGGTTGGTCTTTGCTATCTAAAATTCTTTCAATGGATTGAGCTGCCACCATCCGTGCCCCTCTTCCAATAGCGCATTCTTTGTTTTTTAAAAAGGCACTGAGTGGAAACCCGATTTTATTACTCGGAGCTTTAGGGAATTCTTCTGTTAAATGGTGATAGCAACAGCCAACGTTGCAAATTGTTCGAATTGAATCGCATTCATTGTAGATTTTCAAGCAAGTCGGTGTTAGATTGCCACATGTGTGCAGCCCGACTAATCCAATTTTGTCCGATTTTTGCAAAAATATGTTTGAAATCAGTTCCGGAAAATCCACCTTTTCATCCACAAATTTTGTGATTTGTTTATAGCAATTTATGCTAGTTTCTCTTGTTTTGATGTTTGTCACGACGCCATTCCAAACTTTTGATAATTTATTGGCTCTATCGACGGCCCCATTTGTGTTTATTTCTGAAGCGTCTACTCCTAGAACGGGAATTTGGTAATGCAAAGCCAGCATTGAACTTAGATAACCTTTTCCATCTCCTATATCGATTAAATGTGAGGTACGCGATAGATCCCTTATAGCAGCCACTGCACCACTCAATATTTCCACTTCATGAGATTTTTTCGACTTCATAAAAATATCGAGTTTCAACGACGAAGCTTCCTGGCCACCCAGCTCGTTTAATTTGTTCCTGAATTGCGCCAAAGACATGCAAACTGTGGTGTTTTTCAGGGTCAGTTCTCTACTCTTCTGAATATACATATTTAATGCCGGTAGATGTTCAGTTTGCTGAGCGTAAATGGCTCTGATAGTATCTTGATAGCCGTGATTTGAAGATTCATCTCGTATTTGGTGGGGAATATGTGTGGCAAAGGCATTTTTAGTGAAATAATCAACCATATGCACGTTTGCTAATGCGAGATGGGGTTCCAGATGCTTCAAAGTTAATTCAATTTGATGCTTTACCGTTGATTTGTTCATAATGCTCAAAATTGAATGCCTTCCTTCTTGAAACTGGTCTTAATCTTCAGTTGAGTTGCAATTTTTTTGTAGAGTCCTCGGAGTTTTTCAATCGCCTCAAATATATCTGTACTCTCACAATTAATGCGCGGAAACTCACAACAGCCGTGGCTGAGAGCTTCTAGGTTTTTGAGAACCTTTTCAGGTGGATTTTCGTTCAAATAGTGTTGCGAAAATGCCTGGTAGAAACCTATTTCTGAGCCTATTTCCGCTCCTCTGTGATAGCCTAAATGGTATCCATCCACACTGTCTTGTGAAGAACCGGCTGCGAATCCTTGCTGGTAGCCCTTTTCTACTACTTTCTCCTCGCTGAATAGAATATCGTCAAATACATCGTTAATATCCACTTCTTGAATTTTGTCTGGAATGAAGAAGCTAAAACGTTTAACCTGTTATTCGAAGAATGGAAGATCTTACCTGAGAGAGTATTAGGCATTATAGAAATAAATATGTTTTATGGGTCCGATCATTTTTATGTTTGTCAGAGGTTATGTTAAATAAGGATCTTCTTGCTTTAACTCGCTTCTGCTTGATTTGTACGAGGATAGCTCATTTGTGTCGGTGTCATACAGAACTTTTGGGTGATTTTTGGTTAAATAAATAAAAATGTTCAGGCCCATAGTGATTTAAAAAATTGTTTGAAAATCAGCCCTTTAAGTTGCTACATTTTAAGTGTGATTTTTCAATATATGTTACATAATATTAGGGCTGAAATTTAATACATAAATGGGCCAAATTATATAATAAAGGGACATCTGCATTTTGGTAAAATAGAAAATATATTTTAACACAGAAAATTGGTGGAAAAATCATAACTATCAAAATTTCGCTTTCTCGATTCGTACGCATTCAAAGCGCAAAAAACACATGTATTGGGTTATTATTTTTGCTCTCGCACGCATCTCTCCTACGCGTTACTAATGAGCTTATTCTCCCAGATAATCTAAAACTTGATAAATGCGACCAATTTTGAAGCATCTTAAACCGATGAACAGTCAAAGAGGAGAATAGAACCATAAGAATCATACAAATTTCCAAAGGCAAAAAAAATTAAAGATCAGACAAAATACGATTTGTAAACTTTTGCTGTAAAAATTGGCTTTTTAGCCAAAGAGGAACGCAAAAGGTGGTCCCTATCTAGCCGTTCATATGAGAAGACGCGACTTTCTTAGAGGTAGAGCAGATAAAGTTCCAGATTTGCTAAATGTGGCAAAACAGATATCCAAGAAACTAAATGAGTTAAAGCTTGCCAAAGTATTTATTGCTACGGATGCACCTCGAATAGGTAAAAGAACTTCTAAAAGCCAGAAACTGCGATTTCAGTCGGCTCTTTTTCAGAGTTTGAAGAGCTGAATAAGGCTCTTAGTCCCAAATATGAAGTATACAAATATCAAGCATCGAAACATGTAGAAAGCAAATATTCAGCTGGCGGAATTGCGATCATTGATCAAATCATTTGCTCCTATGCCAGGTATTTTATTGGAACGAGCGATAGTACGTTTTCGTTTAGGATACAGGAGGAGAGAGAAATCTTGGGATTTCCTACTAAATCTACGTTCAATGTTTTATGTAAAAACAATACTAACTGTGAGAAACCATCAGTGTGGAAAATTGTATATTAACTGACTTGACTACAACAAAGATAAAATAAAATAATGGTTATAATATGCAAAATATACAAATAAAATTGCCTAAATATAAATATTGCGTTTGAATCCGTTTAGGACAGGCAATTTATTAAAATTTTTAGATACTATTTAAGCTATAAATTTGAATATATTACTACTTCCCTTGCTATAATTGCGTTTCCTTAATTTCTGTAGAATTTCTGCTTCATGTATATATATACAATGGGTCAGGTATGAATTCGATTTCAATAAATGTTGTATTTTAAATTTATTAAATGCTACTTAAAAACCTGCCTTTCCAGCTATTTAAATTTCTATACCTTTATATATCTGATCATCATCTGACGATTCTGAACGTACCTTAATGTGTTCTAAGCTATTATTAAAATGCTTTGTGATTTGCTCGGTTTCATCCGAACTTTCTAAGTTGGGCAGCTCTTCCTTAATTTTTTTGATCACCTGAGGGAGCAACACAATAGAAAATTGTTCATTGTCATAATTGTTATAGTTATCTACAGCGTGATAATATGTGCTTTAAAACCAATTACTTCTTACCTGGTTTAAAACCTCTATGTTCACTTGATCGTTGCCCTTTTCCAAAAAGTAGATATAATGATTGAGCAGTTCAACGAACAATTGCACTTGAACGCTCACGTCCATACACTGCTTGGCAATTCTCAATCCTTTCTTCAGGTATTCTACCACCCTAAGAACATTCAAATTTTGAATTTTCTGACCAATCTCAATCTGCATTTGATTTACCTTTTACCATCATGGACTTCCTCTTTGTTGCTGGCTAAACTTTTGCCGCTCCAAAACAAATGGCTGCAAGTCGCAACCCCTCTACACTGATCAGGTTTCTTTAAAAGCTTACTGGCAGCTGAAAATAAGTTTGTTAAAAGTGTTTAATCCAGATAGTCTTGCTTAATTTACCAAGAGCGCACTGGGTTCGAAGAGGATCTGAATTTTCTTCGGAAAAGCAACTAATTTGTTCTACTGTACCGACGATCAGAGTAATGGCTGCTAATTGTGCTTTCGAGTCAGAAATTTCATCTTCGTACAGAGAAAAGGCCTGCGACATAAACTCGTAGGCTACAGTTTCATGATTTTCAAAGCCTGGAATTTTACATGGAAATAATATTTTCCATAGGCAGCTTTTAGTTCAAGCTTTTACCTATTTGATCGATGGCTAAAGCGCCTTGTAAGAAGAGCCTCAGTGGCAATTCAGCCAATTCGGCCTTAACTAGAGCAGTGATAGTTTGATGACAAAATTGGAATAACTTGGTACATTTCTTGTCCCAATTGTTTTCCTTTAGGGCTTTATATTGAAATGCCAACTGGCACGCCTGGAAAACTAACGGTGGAAGTGTGTATTTGATGCGCAACGGACCTCCGGTTCCTAGAATCTAAAATCAACAAAATATCAAAGTAGATTAACTAAGGATCAAAACTGCCTATTGGTTATACCTTTCTTGCCACCGTCAAAATATGATACTGCTCATCAGCGACACCTGATTTCATTTGATGAATGAATCGGGCTAACAAACATTGCTCTTCGGCTAGTTCCTCTAAATCGACATTTCCAACTGGATTTTCGCCTTTTTCGGAAACCAAAGTGGAGAGCAGAGTTAGAGCCTGTTCAGTCTCCTCGTGAGATGGAATGATCGTTTCATTTTCAAGTGCGTTGTTCAGTATGTAAATGCTCAAAGACTTGCGGCCAATATAATCCAAATGTTGCATAAGACCTAATAAAATAGAAGACCGGATATTTAATACCCTGCCACCAGCAAACGAGACAGAACGCACCTGCATAATGTTTTAGCTTGAGAACCATTAGAAGATCATTGTAAGTGTCCAAAGGAATTTTTAATAACTTTTGTAGTTCCTTTGCGACTGACGTGTGGTGCTCAAGACGGTCTAAACCGAGCCGTTGAAACATCTAAAAATTGTTTGTAAAAGTGAGGATGTAAACATTAACTTTCGAGGAAAGTTACCTCGACACTGGACAGCATAACTTCATCAATGTAGTCGATCCTATCTGGGTAGCATTTTAAGGCCAAATTGATGAGTGCTACCTGTAGCGAAACCATATCTTCTGGAGGCAAATATTGCCTATTGCTAATAATAGATGAAATCTGAACAGAGAACACCTCGAACAGTTGTACTTCTTTCAAAATGTTGACACCTAAATCCGAAAATACTAAACAAACCGCAAATTTGCTCATATAAAGGATGATTTGAATGAAAACGTTTTTTTTCGACTTTGCAGGCGAATTTATTTGAAATATTATTAATGTGCTTTTACTTGTGTAAACAGTGTCTTAAAGTCAAAAAAACTTTTTTATGAATTAAATTATCTCTTAACAAAATAACTTTTACTTTTACCAAAAAAATAATTTATTTTAAATTTGACCAGACCTTGTTAGAGTATTTTTTTGACCAAACATTGCTCAACCACTAACAATGTTAGTTATGTCGGAGACAATTCTAATACCTTCACTTCCATGACTGTCGGTCCTCTGACTGAAAGCAGCCAGTCTTTCCATAAGACTAATAACGATATTTTTCACATTAACGCCCTGCTCCAGTTCGGCACAAGACTTTAAAAAGGGTGTCAGCGTTTGAATGTGAAACTCATCGGGAAAAACTTGAATGATGCATTCCATCAGATATTCTTGAGCTATCGCATCCCGACAGCTAACGACCTAAATAATGTAGAAAATATGCATGATAATTGAGTTGAACGAGTACCTTTAGCATCATACCTGTTCCAAGATTCCTGGCAACACCAATTTTTGGTATTTATCTAGTGTAACCGACTCCAATTGACTTAGTCTTACCAGGTTGGTTCCAACTAAAATTCTCAACTCTTCTCGTTCCTTTTCTCTGTGTCGTCGCTCCCTAGAATGTCCTTGATGTTGCATTCTCACCTGAAACAGAACAATACTTCGTAAAATCAATTAGTCCTTATGAATTAACAAATCCTAGTAAGTGTAAAATTTTTGTTTCAACAGATTGAGGATAGATCCACAAGAAATTACACACTTTAATAATAGATTTCTTTTAGTTTTTTTTATTAGTTCTTAATTACTTTCACTTACCCATAACTTATTCATTTCTGCAAAATTCATCAGGACAAAATCTATGGAATCTTTAACCGTTCCTTCGGGCGAGTCTACATCAATTTCAGACGCATCGGGAAGAACGTTTCTGGTACATTGGAGAAGGTAGTTTCTCAAAAACAAACCTCTTAATGGATGTTGAACTCCTTTATAGAAAAAAGTACATGGCAAGATGAGTCAATTAGTACAGTTTTGCGTCAATTACCCCTGCACATTTCCACCAAGTCCTTCAGCAGATCTCGTCTCAAGCACGGATTGGTCTTGATGTAAACCAATCCAACTGTTATCAGCAAGTAGAGTCGTGGTACAATGTTGTTTGCATATTGTACAAATTGGTATAAATCAGGAATTTTTGTTCCCTTTTCGAACTCATCCACTAGGTATAGCTCGAGGTGACGCAGTTCGTCCGTTATTGCCATATCTACCAGGATATTTAAAGAAGGATTTAAGAGTTATTGTATTTACATATTAATAATTTTCTATATCAAGGTTTAGCTTTCTATTTTTCTTGGGATATAAACCAGCAACTGAAACATTTAGTGTTAAATTATGGACATTCAAAATAAATTCTCAACCAAATTTCTTTACTCAAAAACATTCTCATTCTACGTTTTGTTAAAAGAGTTTCAATTTCCACAAAAGCAAAGTACCTAATTGGTGTTTAAATACAAAGGAAGGAAACCATGAAACTGATGTTAAGCCAGAAAGGTTTGTATATTTGTAAACATTTTATTAAAATCGACTGTATTTGGAAAATGTTTAGCAGAAACACAGCATTTGTTGATCCAAAAAGTTGATATGTAATTTAATTGATAAAATTAGACAGGAACAAATTCAAATTATTTTGAACATTTGAAGGTAAAGCTTTTAAAAGTTGAAATGCGCAGCCAATAAGAGGCTGACTTTTGCCAGATTTCAACAGCATTTTTAGAAATGTTCGCTGTTTCCTTATGATAGTTACCATACGTTAGATTAGTGCGTTTACAAATACAGATTACGCGTAGACAATAACTGATGGTTTTGAGTTTAATTTGTGCCTAAATTATTGTCGTTAATTAATTAATTGTAAAGGCAGACTTTGGGCAAGATGAAAGATTAAAAATCAATCACTCGAAGAGAATTTGGTGCACTCAAATGGCTTACACAGTTCATAGTAACTCTTTGGTGATAAAATCGACGTTCGCAGTTCTGCAAGCATTGCATGGGCATTTTTAAGGGCATCCTTTAGCTTGTTTTTATCGAGCGCTCGTTTCATGTGAAATGCTTGAGCTTTCACCACCCCCAAAGCGTCATGTAGGTACTTTTCCTGCTCCTCGACAGGCGATATTTGAGGAGGCGTTGTCGGCTGCAAAATACCAAAAACATTTACGAAAAACTGAACCGATCATTTCCTTGGACGAACAAAGTGCATGCTGCTAATGTTTTTGTCAACAATGGCGTTAAGTTGGTTTTGCAAATGTCGGGAATGATAAACAATTTGATGTTAAACGCCAAATTATGCCGAAGTTGGGGGGTTTTCATACCATTTTACTCTTCAAACTACTTCCTTGGCTGTATACCAATAATTAATTATTTGTTTGAACGTCACACATTAACAGAATCTGACAATCTTTAACGAGAATGTCACGTGTCATTTGATAAAAAATTAGATAAAGATGAAATGATGAAAATTGCGTTTTTTGTTTTTTGACAGACAATCGCTTACAGAGCAACGTAACGTACTTGTCTTTATCTATGCAGAGCAACCAAGCAACCTTACAGCACAACGTAATTTGGGGATTTTTGATGAATAATTTCAAAGATAAGTTAGGTTTCAGCTATTGTATGACCAAAGGTTGATATTGAGCAAGAATTTTAAGCTAAATGCTACAATGCTCTAAATGACCCAAATGGTGTAGAAATGATTGATTGTGTGATTGATGTTAAAGAGGGTAGTTATAATTCCTTTAATTTCTAAAATTATTAGCCATCACAGTTTTTTAGTTGCTTATTACAATTTTCCCAACCAGAATCGAATATGCTAGCTTTTGAATAGTTCAAATGCAGTAATTTTTCCATGACAGATTGCCTCATGTGTTTAACTGGTCGTCTAACCAAGTATCGATAAGAACTCCCCGGTCTATCGCCAAGTGTTTTTATCAAATTTTGACGTTTATTCTTGGTGAAATCACAAAAAGTGCAGAGCTTTGCAAAAAGTATGGTCTAGTCAAGAATTCGATATCAGTATGTACCCTCAATCACTAAAATATTTACTAGTTATACTATTTAACCGTTCTCGATTGTGCAGTGAATAATTTTTGCACCCTCTACCTGTAAAAAATGGGTGTTATTATTGCAAAGTTTCGGGTAAGTAGCAAATCAGTTAATTTTTGTATATTGACTAGAAGTGGGCTTATTTCCGTTATAGAAAAGCCGGAGCACTGCAGAAGTCCTTACCAAATTGGAAACGGAAATCGGTTCGATTGAAGAGTTCCAAACGAAGACTAGGCAGGCACAGAGGAAAATTGTCTTCCGATTTATCATTTTAGCCATCGGCATCTATGCATCTCTAGGGCTTTCGATTTATTTTCAATTTTTCAAAATCTCGGAAAATCAAAAGCTGCTCTGGGTCATACCTTTTGTAACATCCCCAGTTGTGTAAGTACCTACTTTAACTAATTTTCTGGGGGGCAAAGCCAAGCCACGCTTTCCGCATCTGCCCAGCCAAATGTTGGCGTCTATATGCAAATCATTTTTCAGTCAACATAAGTACAGCTTTTTTTTGCTTATAAATATCAACATTTATCAGCGAATTACATGGCAGAAATGTTTAGAAGCGACACGGTCAAAGTACAAAATCAAAAATCTCACTTTTTACTTTCAAATTTTGGAGCCGATTCATTGTATTCGCACAATGACATGGAACAATAACTCATAAAATTAATACAAATAGTATCGCACTGGCCTTAGGAAATGCTGGTTTTATGCAATTTTCCTTTTTTTTCGCTCAATCGCTTGGACTAAGTGCACTGAAAATACAGCAAAGTTTTCTATCTACACAAGCATTTATTGTACAATTAATGTAAATAGATACATTATTACTATTCAGGGACAATTGCCAATTGCAATTGAAATTGTTAATGAGGCAGATCACCTAAAAATACATTGATGACGTCCTTCTGGTCTAGTTTTTTTGCAAATATCTCAGTTTTTGGTAAGAATTAATTTTTTACTCTTTTTCCTGTACTCCTTAACAACGTAAATATACTGATTAAAATGTTCTTTAATTAATATACACAGAAGAATTCGTCCAAACTGCCAGAGTTTCATATATACATATACATAGTGCTTTTAGACCATTTAAGATCCGCCTGTGTGTATGTGGATCCGAACGCCGGACGCGTTATGGACATTTCACGATTGCCAAGAAAAAATATTTTTTTAAATAATTCGCTTGTTACCCTTTTCTTCACAATTAGTAAAAGTTATTTTTTTAATGCGTTTAGTATAGTCGTGATCAAAAAGTTCCTAAGTTGGTACTACAATCGCAAAATAAGGAGAAATGAACGAAAATTAGTCTCTCTAAAGGAGCGGAAGAAGAAGATACTGGAAAATGTTATGGAAACGGAGACGTACAAAGTGGCTAAAGATATTTTAGATAAGTTTGGAAATGAGCCGAAACTACCACTTCCGGCGCTACGCTTTAAAGACGCTACTCCGATCGCTGCATCAAGCCATAAAGGCCCTCAATTTGGTAATCATTCTTAACATACGCTTATTAAATAAACGTTAATTAGTTAAAATTCGCCATTATCCGTCACTTAATTTATACGCGTTGCAGTGAAGCAAGCAAGCACTTGAGAAGACTTTCTCATTTTTACACAGGAAATTTGCTAATATGGCCCAATTAGTATATTATTTAATCAACTTCAGTCTACAATAATTAGACTGTATTTAGTTCTAAATTGCAAATTTTATGCTGAATATTTGCAATGATTAATTTGCCAATTTTAAATGTTGATTAAAATTTGTAAGTTTCAAAAAACAATTTTTTTAACTAAATGATTAATATAAAGCTTATCAGTATCAAAAATGATTTTAGGAGTGCGGCAAAGAAACATTGCTGCTTTAAATACGAGTGCTTTATTCAGTGGCTCTGCAGACACTTCTTTAGCTGTACGACAATTAGCGATATCAACCCCAGTAACTGGAAGGTAAGATTTTTATTAGAGAAGTATTAACTGATTTTTGCATATTAATGTCCATGTTTGTTATTATTAGAGCCACCAATTAACTAGATATGGGTTCAATATCAAGCTCAAAGAATATGAATACGCTTATATATGTCTGTATTATTATACTTTCAGCTAGTTATCTCTATGTCAGCCACAAAGCCAACAGCTAGTTACATAAAATATGCATTGTTTTAGAGTGGTGATGCCCAGAAACGCTTTAGCATTGAGTCCAGCTGGGCCCGCATTACCCAGAGGAATCCTCCCGCCAGAACGATCGGTTTTGGATAAAATCGTGGAATATTTGGTGGGAGATGGACCGTCGAACCGATATGCCTTAATTTGTAGTAAATGCAACAACCATAATGGTAAAAAAATTGTTCATAATAAATGAGCTAATTTCACATAACTTTTTCACGATGGTAGGCATGGCGCTGAAAGAGGAATTCGAATACCTGGCGTTTCGCTGTTGCTACTGCAACCATATGAATCCAGCGCGCAAAATGCGTCCGGCAGGTCCAAACGTTAATTTTCCTTTAATGATCAAATCACATGATGCTGATAAACAGGATGAATCTTCCAATTCCGGCGGGAATTCAGAGAGTGATTCAGACTCAGAGGTAATTTAATCTCTGTTTTTTTTTTATTTGAATCGTTCCCAGTACCATATTTGCAAGTTTTTGCACAACGAGGAGTTCATATCTTTAGTTGATTGCACTACTAAGTGATAAAACGCAGGCAATAAATTAAAAAAATTAGCAATAACAACTCAGTCGGGTAATTTGCTATTGGAAAAACTGTATTTAAAACAGACGGAAAAAGGGATTTTGAGAATGAATAGATTTAAAAATGAGAGGTGGAGTCTGGACGACAAACAAATTTTTCATTTGGAAATATGCGTCAGTAAACCAAACACTCACGAAAAACCACATCCCTATCTAAATTTCATCTCCAGGTAGATTTAGAATATAAGTATAAAGAAAAAAACGCTTTTGATAATACAGAGTGTTTTATAAGGAACATTTTGTTTGATTGATTGACGAGCTATTAATATTAAGGAAATGATTAAAAGTAGCCTTTTTTAATGAATCATCTTGTATAATTAAGTATGGACAGCAGATATTGCAAATAGAACAAAAGGAAGACCTTTTGCGGGTTTCCATTTAAAAACCAAAAGGATTTCGTAGTCTCTTGTTTATGAAACATTCTGTATAATGTAGTTTTATGGGACAAGATGCATCTTTAGAAATATATTCAGTCTTTGAGTGTTTTTTTCTTAATACATCAGGTGAGTCATAAATGGAGATGCGGTTTTCGTATGAAGAAATATTTTATTTTATATAATATTTCATAACACATGTTTTTACTTCTTCTCTTTGTTTTATTCGATCTGCCTGCAAAATAATTTCCCTTGCCATAACTAGCGTTTAATTTACCATTTGGACGTTAAAAAATATAACCAACAACATACAAACAACTCACCTAAATGACGGAAAGTCGGCATGTCTACTCATGGACATCAACAAGGCTTTTGATAGTGTCTGGCATAGGGGCTTACTATATAAACTATACAAACTTCACACACCACCATATCTACTACACACCATAAAGAACCTACTAGAAAACAGACAACTACAAGTTCGAATTGACAATACACTCTCTTTTTCTTTTTCCCCTGAACAAGGGCTCCCTCAAGGATCCCCGCTCTCACCCTTTCTCTACAGTATATACTGCCATGACATATACAATTACAACTTACCAGACAAAAATCAAATCGACAGAACGGCATACATATTACAATACGCTGACGACACGGCACTTGTTGTACACG